ACGCCTTGGAGGCGGTGCGCGCGCGCGGGAGCCAAATCACCTCGCTCGCGTGCTGCGTGACGGCAGCAAGGGTGGCGACAAAGGAGTCGTGGTCGTACTTGTTTTGCACCGCCGCGAAGCAGCACGCGTCGAGCCATATTCCCTCCAGCCCCGCCGCGTGCGCCACGTCGGCGATCGAGGCGAGCGCCGCGGCGTCCATCGTTGTCCCGCTGTGCTCATGTCGATCGGCAGCGGTCCGTGGCGGGGGTGGTGCTCCCCGGCGCAGAGCAAGGCGCCAGGGTCGGGGAGGGGTCCGAGGCAAGGTGTGGTCTGCTAAGGTGTGGTCTGCTAAGGTGTGGTCTGCTGAGGTGTGGTCTGCTGGAGGGGCGCGGGCTCACGTCATCGCGCGGAAGAGGATGTCGACTGCCAGCTTCTCGTCCTCGTCCGTCATCTGCTCCAGGATCTGCTCCTTGAAGCGCAGGCAGTACACGAGCGTCGCGCCTCCGCCAGGCACGATCCCCTCGTTCATCGCCGCCTTGACCGAGTTGAGCGCGTCCTCGTACCTAGTCTCGGGTCATCTCGGGTCATCTCGGGTCATCTCGGGGCATCTCGAGTTGAGCGCGTCCTCGCACCGCAGCTTCTTGTCCTTCAGCTCCGTCTCGGTCGCAGCGCCGACCTTGTACGCGGCCGGTGTCAGTCAACATTGGATCTTAGAGGGGGGGGGGAGTCCATACTACTCCATCCTAGTCGACCTTGATCCGTCCGATGGCGCCGCCAAGCTTTGCGATCCTCTCCTCCGCCTTCTCCTTGTCGAACTGCGAGTCGGTGAGCTCCGCCTCCGCGCGGATCACCTTGATCCGCTCCCCAACCTCGTCCGCGTGGTTGCCTGGTGGCGAGAGGAGCCGAGATGAGCCGAGATGCGCCGAGATTGCTCCTCAGCTCCCTCTCCCGCGTGGCTGCCCGTCGCGATCATCGTCGTCCTCTCCTTGGAGACCGCCACGCGGGCAGCCTTGCCAAGCATCTCCTCCGTCACCTGCGCGAGTGCGCGAGCAGGGGCGTCACTCTTCGGAGGGGCAGCAGCCTCGCCCCAGCATCTGTCGCTCGCCGACTCGAGGGTTAGGCCGAGCTGCTCCGTCACGAACGTCGCGCCCGTGACGATAGCGATGTCCTCGAGGTACGACTTGCGCCGGTCGCCTGGCGAGGAGTCATCCGAGAAGAGGTCCCCGGAGGGGCCAGAGAGGGGGTGGGGGGAGGGGGGTGTGTCGCCGCTCACCGAAGGAGGGCGGCTTGATGGCGCACACGTCGAGCACGCCGCGCATCTTGTTGAGCACGAGCGAGGAGAGCGCCTGCTCGAGGCAAGAGAGACCGGTCTCGTGGGGCGGCGGCGCGGCGCACCTCGCTGAGGAGGAGCGGAGGGGTCTCTCGCCTCGCCGGTCACGTCCTCGGCGATGATGAGCAGCGGCTCCTTGGAGGAGACGAGGCCCTCGAGCAGCGGGACGATCTCCTGTTGGCCACGCATCGGAGGGTGAAGCAGCCAGCAGTGGCCCCCTCGAGCAGGGGGGACACCTCCTGCAGTCTGCGGTCGTTTGGCCCGACACCGCCACGCGCACAGCTACAGATACACATCTGCACCTGCATCTCTCGGGTGACACCTCCGCTGCCATCTCCGCTGCCATCTCCGCTGCCATCTCCGCTGCCATCTCCGCTGCCATCTCCGCTCTCATCTCCGCTGCCATCTCCGCTGGCACCTCTACTCTCTCTCTCTTTCTCTTCTTCTCTCGCTCTCTCCTGCATGTTTCCGATCTTGCGGTCGGTCACGAGCACGCGCGGGTTCTCGAGCTCACACAGCTGCGTCTCCTGCACGCCGGAGAGCCCGAGGTGCGTCAGTGAAGGCGTTGCAAAGGGCTGCCACCGAACCACTTCTGCTCGCCTGGTTCTTGACAAAGTACGGAGAGACGAAGCCGCGGTCGATCTCCATGCCCTCGGTGAAGTCGATCTCGTCGGTCAGCGTCTGCCCGTCCTCCACCATCGTCGCGCCTGCTCGCACCGCGGCGGCCTCAAGCCTCGCAGCCTCGCAGCCTCCTCGCCCCTCCTCTGCCCAGCGCCGTTTGCGCCCACGCGCTGGAAGCAGGTAGCGATCGTGCGCCCCATCGCCTGGGGAGGGGAAAGGCGCGAGAAGCTTCGGGGGCGGGCGCCAGGGGAGGCGCGTGGCGTTCGAAGGGCGCGTCGCCTCCGAGTTGGTCGCGATGGGGCAAGTCTCTGGGAGGTGTCTGGGAGGCGTCTAGGAGGCGTCTGGGAGGCGTCGCGTCTGGCGCCTCCGAGTTCGTCGCGATGACGGCGATGTTTTTGATCTCGTCGTCAGAGTCGACCGGCTTGGCGAGCTTCTTCACCTCCGCGGCGAGCAGCTTGGACGCCTAAGCGAAGCGTCCGGAGCGAAGGTCAGGGACGCTCTCTCTTGCTCCACCACGGGCCAGCGGGCGCAGCTCTATCGCCTTTTGCAAACCGCGCTGCAGAGCGATCGGGTTGGCACCCGACGCGACGAGCTTCAGCCCCTCGCCGACCAGAGCCTGCGTCAGCACGCACGACGTCGTCGTCCCGTCCCCCGCCTTCTGGTCGCTCTTCGACGCCACCTCGACGATCAGCTTTGCACCGACGTTCGCGCGCGCATCCTCGAGCTCTATGTCTCGCGCGATGGTGACGCCATCGTTGACGACCTCCGGCACGCCAAAGGAGCGCTCCAGCACGACGTTCCTCCCCTTGGGACCGATCGTCACCTTGACCGCATTCGCGACCGCATCGATCCCCGCAAGCAGCGCAGCGCGGGACTCGTCACCAAACGTGACCTCAGTCGCCATGCGCGGCGCGGCGCGCACACCGCGCGCCGAGGCAGCGGGCGTGCCGACCCACACCGCGGCGGCGTGGGTGCACCCGCCCAGCAGCAGCGCGCTCCCGAGCAGAGCTGGCATTATCGGTTTGCGCGTGGCTGAGCGGCAGCTCGCACACTGGGAGCTTGTTCGCTAAAAAAATGCCGGGCGCTTGCAACGTGGCCAGAGGATCCGAGGGTGGGCGACGGCTAACACCACACTTCTCCCCTAAAATCCCTGTGTGGTGGCGGCGTACCGTCCTCCCATCCCTCCCTTGGGTTGCCTGTTTTCTTTCTTTAGGATCCTCCCATCCCTCCCTTGGGTTGTCCGTTTTCTTTCTTTCTTTCTTTTAGAGGATCCTCCCATGCCTCCCTTGGGTTGTCCGTTTTCTTTCTTTCTTCCTGGCCAGAGGAACTGTGATCAAGTATCAAGTCGTATGCTGGAGGCTCTCGCCGACATCCGCTTCCGGGCACGCGCCACCGCCGTTTGTCCGCCCCCTCCCGCCCCGCCGCGCCGACGCGATGCCGCGGCTCGGCAGCACATTCGGGCTAGCGATGCGCGCTCGCCCCCTCCTTGGGGCTGGCTTGCCTCCCCGCCCCTCAAACCAGTAGCCCCTCTCGCGGAGGTAGGCCCTCGACCGGCGCAGGTCGCGCCAACAGCTCGTGTTGGGCAGCGGCGCCGCCGCTCCGAGTCGCCAAAGATAGCGGACCGCCATCGCGACGGGCGGGGAGACGCAGGAGCGCGAGCGGCAGTGCCAGGGGCCAAACTGCCACGGCTTGGCGCCGTCTGGGCCACTAACACGCGACCTGCAAAAAGCAGCGGGGTTGTGAGTTCCACCCTCCAGCTTGGCGCTACATCAGGGATCCGCCCGCCTTCCCGCCCAGTGGTCCACCGTCCACGCGTACGAATGCGTCTGGAATTCGTCTCGGCTCGCTGTCCAGGCGCCTTTTGGCCCCGGTTCGAATCGCGGTTGGCGCGCGCCCTCGCGGAGCGACGCGTGGCGCGCGACGCGCGCGCGTGCGCGTGCGCGCCCAGCCGAGCCCTAGGCCGTCTGCCGTCTGCCGTCTGCCGTCGGCCGTCGGCCGTCGGCCGTCGGCCGTCGGCCGTCGGCCGTCGGCCGTCGGCCGTCGGCCGTCGGCCGTCGGCCGCCGCCGCCGCCGTAGCGGCGGCGAGCGCTCGCCTTTTGCGCGACGCGCGTGTGGACGCGCGCCGCCCAGCGCCTGACGTGCCGGAGCCGGTCCGGCGCGCGCGCGGGCGGCCAGCGCCTGTAAACAGACAGCTGCCGCCCACACGTTCAAAGCATGTAGCTCACATGAGCTTAGTGTACCTGTGTCAGTGAGTCCGGTGCCGAGAATTCTAATTCTTTTCCCCCGGGCACACATGTATGCACATATGTCCGACAGTAAGCGCGCGCGGGCAGCCGCAGCCTCTTCGGACGCGGAACAAGAAACGCAGCCACAGGCGTGGCCAACGAGCCAGGCGCTCTACGCGGAGGGCCTCTCTCAGCGCGCCGAGGTGGTGGCCACGTCCCAGCCCACCTGGGCGATCGACGGCAGAGCGATGCGCGAGAGCACGCTCGGCACTGACGCGTCCGAGACGCTGCGTGCGCGCCAGGCGGAGGTGCGCCGCGTGTTGCTCCGCAGAGGGCAGGCGGGCTAGCAGCACTGCGCCCACGTATCGCACGATTTTCGTCAGACGCTTTGGCTTTCCGGGGATCTCCGGGGAGGCCTGACGTGTGCGTGTGGCAGCAGCGGACTCGCAGTGCAAAACTCGGGGACCGCCTCGTTCATGTGCATTTGAATGAAATGAGACGCTCTCTCCTAATACGCACCGGCCACACGCGTCGGCGCGGCAGCATGCCAGCATCGCCGAAAGTAGCATCGCCGAAAGTGCTAAGTGGCATGCCCCCACCCACGCCTTCTCGAGAGGCTGCGACCGCCGGCGCCTCACGAAGTGTCGGGCAGCAGCGCGATATCGAGATGATCCCCCGCCATGAACTGCAGCTCGGCGAGCGTCTTCGCGTCGTCGTTGCCTCGCTTGAGCGACAGGCAGGAGCCAACCTCCCTCAGCACGAGAGCGCCGCGCTTATCGGGGTAGACCTGCGAGAAGGAGAAGACGAGGCCCCGCTCCCGCGCGGCGGGGTGCACCCCCTTGAGGAGCTCCTTGAGCTCGTACAGCGACGTGTCCTGCCACCCGTGCAGTGGCACCTCGTCGGCGGTCGGCGCCGCGCCGCGCGCAAAGTCGGAGCTCGAGTGGTGGCGGCCGCGCTTGACAAAGGTGCGCAGCAGGAGCGGGCACGTGGCCGCGCGGTCGACCGGGTCCGGCCGCCGCTGCGGGGGGGCGCCGCGCGGTCCGCCCGGCGGCGGCGGCGGCGGCGGCGGCCCGCCGCCGTTCTGCCGGCTGCGCGCGAGCCGCTCGCGCTCGCGCTGGTCGATGCGGACCGGAGGGCCGCCGCGGTCGCGGTCGCGGTCGCGGTCGCGGTCGCGGTCGCGCGAGCGGTCGCGGTCGCGGTGGCTCCCGCGGTTCGCGGGCGAGCGAGAGCGAGCCATGTGTGAAGCGACTGTCTGTGCTGCTTGTGCGTCTTGGTTCAGTTTTTTTGTTTGTTTGTGCGTCTTGGTTCAGGGGTCTGTTTTTGTGAGAAGAAACCCTGGAACACCCTCCTGTCCTCTGAGTTCATTTCGGCTACAGCCAAAAAGAACTGCGGCCCCCTTGGCGGGAACGACATCAGTGAGGCGGCCAGTTCCCACCAACAGCTCGTCAATAACCATGTTCGAGGTGCGCCGCGCCCCCGCCCCGGGCCTCCCCCGCCGCCCCCACTCGCCACGCGCCGCTCGGCGAGCGCGCCTGCGCAGCCCGCGCCCGCGCCCGCCCGCCCGTGGGCCTGCGCGCCGCGGCCGGACGTCGAAAAGCCGCGGCCGCCGACAGGCTCGTATGACTGAGGGCGGGATGCTCAAGAAGATCACCGAGGCGATGAAGGACCTCGTCACCGAGGCCAACTTCGACTGCTCCACCACCGGCGTCTCCGTCCAAGCCATGGTGACTGCCACACACGCCCGCCCGCTGTCGCCACGCCCGCCGCCCCGGCCGCGCCTTGAGCGCACGCCCCGCTGTCGCAGGACTCGAGCCACGTGTCTCTGGTGGCGCTGCTGCTGCGATCCGAGGGCTTCGACCACTACCGCTGCGACTCCTCCACATCGCTGGGAATCAACCTCGGGTCGATGGGCAAGGCGACGCACCTCCCGCTTCCCGCCACAAGCCCACCCGCCCCACTCCCCCTCGCCCCTTCCCCGCCCCGTCCCCCGCCCCGACCGCCTCCCCCACCGCTACTTTCCTTAGGCTTCCCCCCCCCCCCCCCCCCGCCTCCCGCCTCCCACCCCCTCTTCTTCTCCGCCCTCCCGCCTCCTGCTCTCTGCGCCCCGGCGGCGCCCCTTCTCCCGCCCTGCTCACCCTCCCCCCTCCCTCTTCGCCAAGGTGCTCAAGTGCTGCAACAACGACGACGTCGTCACGCTCAAGAGCGACGACTCCGCCGACGCCATGACCTTCATGTTCGAAAACAAGAACGCGGACCGCATCTCCGACTTTGAGCTCAAGCTGATGGACATCGACTCGGAGCACCTCGGCAGCGCCCCCCCCCCCCCTCTCCCCCTCTCCCCCACCGCCACCACGCACACACACCGCCTCCACCACACCACCGCGCGCACACGCACAAGACCACGAGCGCTGCCCCCCCCCTCCTCCCCCACACACAACACGCACACCGCACGACCCAAGGGAGCTGCCCCTCCACCTCACCCCGAGCCTCCCTCGCTCCCCTCCCCGCGCAGGCATCCCAGACACGGACTACAAGTGCACCGTCCAGATGCCCTCCGCAGAGTTCCAGCGCATCTGCCGCGACCTCGCCATCCTCGGCGACACCGTCACCATCTCCGTCACCAAGGAGGGCGTCAAGTTCTCCGTCTCTGGCGAGATGGGCTCCGGCAACATGACCATCAAGCCGAACGAGTCGGTGCCGCGCGCACGGCGCTGTCTCGCGCCGCGCCTGTCGACCAACTCCCCGACACCTCCCCCGCCCCCGCCCCGCAGGTGGACACCGAGGACAAGGACCGCGTCGCCGTCGAGATGGACGAGCCCGTCTCGCTCAACTTCGCGCTGCGCTACCTCAACTTCTTCACAAAGGTAGTGCGGCACCCTGCCCCCCCCCTCTCCGCTACCGCCACCCACCCAAACCAACTCTTTTCAGGACCACCATCCCCCATCCAACAAAAAAAGGCCTGACCTCGCTCAGCGCCCCCAAGCTGACGCATGTCACCACCAATCTGTATGTGACAAACGTCGCATCGCTTACGTCAATCAGCTTCCCGAGCCTCCAGTTCGTGGCTGGTTTCAGGTTCCAGAATCAAGATGCCCTGACGGAGCTCGACCTGAGCAGCCTCGGTCTTGTTGGCAATGGCATGGCAAACAACGAGATGGGGCCCGAGTTCGACGATCTGCCTGTGCTGCAGCCCTCCGGCCTCAAGCTCAGCACAAACTGGATCATCGTGCGTAACTACCTCGGTTTCAGAAGCGTGCCGAACATAGACTGCACCAACAACGCGGGCCTGAACGCAATGTTCGACGCGTGCAGGAGCAGCAACCCCCCAGCAACCTGGAACTCTTGCCGGCCCGGCACCAAGTCAAGCGCGCAACCCCCCCCCAGCGGCTGCTCCTAGCCAAAATTTTGCGCGTTGCGGGGCTAAGTACTCTGGGCCCTCTTGACTCGTCTATCCCCGCGCACTGGGAGCAACACACGCACACGCACAACTAGCGCCGCCGCCGCGCCACGCACCTGGCTAGAACTCTACCTCCGGCGCGTGACAATGCCTGCGCTGTAGATCGATGTCATTGCCCCATGTTACGACTGTAAGACAAGCAACGCTTGCTGCCCGGCGCTGCAGCTAAAAATCGAGGGGTGGTCTGCCCCGGCCTTTTCGAAAGCGCTCTATCTGATACTCTAGCGGATTTAAAGAAAGAAAGAAACAAAACAGACAACCCAAGGGAGGGATGGGAGGACGGCACGCCGCCACCACACAGGGATTTTAAGGAGAGGGGTGTGATGCGCTAGCCGTCGCCCACCCTAGGGGGTCTGCCTCTTCCTATCTCCTTTCGCAGTCTCTCGCCGCTTCTCGCTGCAACCTTCATGCCACACCTCGCGGCCGTCCCACTCTCGTCGTTCTCTCCCTTGTCACTTCCTCCTCTGTCGCGTCATTCTCTTCTGCCTCGTCCTGCGCCGCCGCCGCCTGCCGTAGCGGATTTGACGCATGAGGTCGCCGCGAAATAGTTAGAGGCTGCGCAGGCCTCCCCCGGTATTTTATTGGTCGATACGAGTAGAGCGGCATCATATGAAAACCCCAGAACGGGTCGGACACCGTCCCACCGTCCGTCGCCTCGCTACAGACGTCACGCCCCCGCGCGTGGGGTGGCGAGAGGAGCCGTCGTGCTGCTGCGCTGGCCGCTGGGCGCGTGTGTGGGCGCGGGGCGCCCCCCCCCCCCCCCCGCGCTGAGCGCTGTCAGCGGTGGGCCACCTCTCGGCTCACGCCGCTGACCCAAGCACCCAACTGCATGCGTGGCGGCGCCGGCGGCGCAGTCAGAGTACAGAGGAAGGAGAGAGTGTGCACCTAGCTCCTAGGGGTAAAGCCGTAGGCTGTGCGCAGCGCGGCCGGGCGACGGGTGAGAAGGCTCGCCAAGCACCGCTCAGCGGCGAGGGGGAGGGCGGCGGCGAGGCGCGAGGCGGTGGCAGCGGTGGTGCGGACGGCGGGATAGTACAGAGAAGGAGAGAGTGTGCACAGGCTGACCCACAGGCTGTGCGCGCAGCGCGCCCCGCCGGGCGGGTGAGAAGGCTCGCCAAGCACCGCTCAGCGGCGAGGGGGAGGGCGGCGGCGGCGGCGGCGAGGCGCGAGGCGGTGGCAGCGGTGGTGCGGACGGCGGGATTGACAGGGGAGGCGGCGGCCACGAGCGGAGCGGCGGCGAGAGGGGGGCAGCGGCGAGGCGCCGGCGAGCGAGGCGCCCGCGCCATGTCAGAGGGACGCCGCCGCGAGATGGAGGGCGGCGGTGACGGAGGCGAGGGGCGAGGCGGCGGCGGCGGCGGCGGCGGCGAGAACGGCGGCACCGAGTTTGTCTCGGTGAGCGGAGCGGCGGCGGGAGGAGGAGCAGCGCGGCGCTCTCGCCGTTTGAGCGATGTTTTGAGCCTGGGAT